CTCTAAACTTGGTTTAAACTTCTGAATTTTCCAGGTCATATAAATATCTTTTAAATTATATTTTTTAAATGATATTTTTTGTATGTCCTTAGTAACCGTCCGATTAATTTCACTAAGCATACATTCAAATAGATAGACTCAATCCCAAGCTTTTTTTTTCCACAGGAAATTAAATTGCCTGTAATTTCATGAGATACCATGCAATTACCTTTGACAGAAGAGGGTATTGTCCCTGCCTAACCCTCAAGTCTAGTACTTGGCATCTCAGCTTGTGCAGGCACATCCAAAAATTCTGCCATGGCCACTGAAGCTGCCATTTTTACATTTTTTGAAACTATATCTGGTCTCCCACAGTACACACAACATGGAAATGCAATTATTTTAGTAAATATAAACTGCTAAAGACTTTTCTCATCAGCAGTTAGAGCAGTCTTGTGACTTCTATCAGTGCCCAGCAGAGCACTGGTTAAAGCTTGTAGGAGGAGTTTTTATTCTGCTCTAGGAGGAAGTAAAACCCCTGACCTCTGTCTGGACAGTGCTGATTGGCCCTGTGCTGATCATATGCACTCTCCCAAGAAAAAAAAAAACCTCTCTAGCAATACACACTAAACTGAGCATGTGCAGAAGGGCTACGGATTCAGTCTGTCTTATCAGTGTTGATATTTGAACAAGAGGAGGGGCAGAGAAGTCAGGATCAAACAGCCTTTTTACACAATGCAGAGGATTAACCCCTTAGGTTCCACTGTGAGTATAACATGCATGATTTTATGCATACAGACTGATTTTACTGTTGTGGGTTTAGTAACACTTTAACTTGTGTGGGTAATGCGATATTTTGTACAACACGTCATATTCTCCACCTTAATAAAGTAGTTTTATTAGAATAATATACAACACACTCTATAAAACCCCCTTGTAGCATAACCCACAACTAAGGGAGTATTTTAAAGATATAAACTTTTGGGCTTATGATGTCAGGTATCTACGAAATTTGTGTTCTGAAGGAACCTTTAACCGCAGAAATTCTGCTACAGGGCGGCAGGGCTGCTAAAAATCATGTATATATACGTAATTTTGCCTTTCCGGGTAGGAGGCACGTGCGGCGCGCCACCATTGGCGACCTCAGGTGTCGATCACCGGGTCCCAGCCAGTGATTCCCTGCCGGCACCTGGTGATCGACGAGTACCACTGAAAAGGGAGAGACCTGTATGTAAGCAATACAGATCTTTCCCCTGTCAGCTCCTGCACATTGCTTTGTTTGGCTCTACATGGCAGAATCAAACAAAGCAATGTGCTGACTCTGCATGGCAGAGCCAAACAAAGCAATGTGCTGACTTTGCATGGCAGATCCAAACAAAGCAATGTGCTGACTCTGCATAGCAGAGCCAAACAAAGCAATGTGCTGACTCTGCATAGCAGAGCCAAACAAAGCAATGTGCTGACTCTGCATGGCAGAGCCAAACAAAGCAATGTGCTGACTCTGCATGGCAGAGCCAAACAAAGCAATGTGCTGACACACAGCACATTGACACAGTGAAAGACACACAGCACACAGTTAACCCTTTGATCGCCCCCTTCCTGCCCAGTGTCATTAGTACAGTGCCAGTGCTTTTTATTAGCACTGATCACTGTATTAGTGTCACTGGGGATGTCAGTGACAGTTAGTCAGTTCCCCCAGTGTCAGAATGTCCGCTGCAGTCCCGCTATAAGTCTCTGATTGCCACCATTACTAGTGTAAAATAAAAAATTCAGTATATATATACCGCCATTTGTAGACATGAAAACTTTCACGTAAATCAATTATTTTACACGTATTGGGATTTTTTTTTAGCAAAGACATGTAGCAGAATAAATTTTGACCTAAATTTATGGCGAAATTTTATTTTTTTTTACTGGACATGTTTAATAGCAAAATATGAAAAATATTGTTTTTTTTTTTTCAAAATTGTCGGTATTTTTTGTTTCTAGCGCAAAAAATAAAAAAATGCAGAGGTAATCAAATATCAACAAATGAAAGCTCCATTTGTGGGAAAAAAAGGACGTAAATTTCAATTTGGTGCAGCATTGCATGACCGCGCAATTGTCAGTTAAAGTAATGCAGTGCCGTAATGCAAAAAAAATGGCCTAGTCATGAAGGAGGGTAAATCCTCTGGAGGGCAAGTGGTTAATTCCTTTTCAGAACTTATATGAGGTACCTAACACTGCAAACGTTTTCTACTTGCAAATGAGACATGCTGCAACTAAGTAGCTAGGCTTGGTTGGGGTGGCACTAACCATCTCTAAGTACTCCTCCAGCCAGGGCACCAAAAACTAAAATCAACATACCACTCAGTTTTGTAGCATTCTAAGACCTCAGGCACACAGGATGTTTTAAAAATGCTGCTGTTCTTGGCAGCAGTGGTCTGGCAGAAAAACCCGCCTGAAGCTTGTAAAAGTGTCTAATGCATTTACAAGCGTTTAGGTGCATTTATAGGCGTCAAGCACTTCGGTGTTAATTCATTTCATTGGCTAGAATAATAATTTATAAATGCGCCTAACGTTAACACGCGTTTAGACACGTTTGCACACATTTACACTCGCCAAGCATTTTTCTGCCAAAACACTGCTGCTCCTGGATGCACTGGCAATGGGTTCTTTTGCAGCTCCTAAAAGCCCCTGCCACTACAAACGTCTAAAAGTCTATGTTTGCATGGACACGTAGGATAACATGGAGGAGCGTTTGGAAGCTGTAAAAAAAAAAAACCCGCATGATGCCCCTGAAAATGGCTGCAAAAACACCCTGTGTGCATGAGGCCTAAAACGGCTTGCCTTGGATAAGACACAATGGCAAGAGGGCCTACCAGGTCTACCAAAGGACGCCTGGCAAGACATATTACAGTGGTCCTCATATTACTTCCATTATATCCTCCAAAGCAGGGGTAGACTGACCATTTGGAAACTGGGGCACTGCCCGAGGGCCCGGGGTCAGTAGGGGGCCCCATGAAATGCCCCTGGTACCTTTTTCATAGGCTTTTTTGAGTTTGGGCAAGGACACAGGGGCCCCATGATCCCCTATTGCCTGGGGGCCCCATGAGTTGTCAGTCCACCCCTGCTCCAAAGGTAAAGTGATTCCGCTGAAATATTTGCACTGTATATGCTACATGCCCTACAAATGTTTAAACATGGCAAATCATCTACCTCCTCTTGCTCTAGATTCCTGACACATTTAGGCACTTTTTTTTTATATGACTTGGGATTGTCCCAAAATACAAACCTTTTGATGTGAAATAACTAATTTGCTGCAAATCTAGCTTTACCCAATATCTCCAATCATGTTTGATGCTTGCTGGGGTATTTTGAGGACTCAGACATGCTTAACCCTACTAAACCCCTTCTTTGCCTTTTAGGGCTCGTTCACACTTGACTGTTTTACCAATGCTTGCCAAATGCCCATATAGCGTTTGCAAGCATTGGTCCAGCATTTGCGGAGCGTTTTTTAATGCTCGGCAAACGCTATGCAAACGCCGCATGCGCGGTTCAGCGGCGGTTGCTAGGCGTTTGCCGAGCATTAAAAACGCTCCGCAAACACCTATAATGAAGTTTAAATGGTGTTATCGCTCCGCAAATGCCCCGCAACCACGTCGCAACCGCGCCAAAAACGCTGGCCGGGCCTTTGCGGAGCGGAACGCCTCCTGACTCGACCAGAGGCGTCTGTTTTGCCACGACCCGACACAACACTAATGTGCAGAATTGTCAGAGTCTCTGCCGCCTGCACACAACGCTAGTGTGAACGTAGCCTTATACTTCTATATGAAGAAGTATATGGCTATTACCTGGAAACAGTGGCGTCCCGAGGCAGGTGCGGGGGTTGCGCTCTGCACTGGGTGACACCATTCGCACGGGGTGACACCGGACCTGCTCCACGAAAAGGTAAGTTGTAAAGCAAGCCAACGATCCCCGCAGAATGGATCTGATCCATCCTGCAGGGGTCATCGGCTTTCTTTACAACTTACCTTTTCATGGAGCGGGTACGGTGTCACCCCGTATAGGTTGCATGCCAACGATCCCCACAGGATGGATCGGATCTGCGGATTGGGGAGCATAATGGATCGGAGTCCGATCCATTATGCTCAATCCGCAGATCCGATCCATTCTGCAGGGATTGTCAGAGGGGGTGTCACAAAGTGTTATCGCACCGGGTGACACCAACCGTAGGGATGCCCCTGCCTGGAAATCTTTTGATCCTCCAACAGTAATTATTGGAGAAAATCTCATCAACAAGGTAATACCATTTTAGAAGCTAACATATGACTTATGTGGCTGCGCAAAAAAATGGAGAAATTTTAGTTCCCCTGGCAGGACACACAAAATACTATACCTTTAAAATAAGGTCTCTATATTGAGGTTTATGAAAACATATTTTCTGTGTTTGTATAGAAGGAGATACACCATAGACAAATATGAGACTGTACTGGGTTTAATATTTGGTTTTTATTATCTCTTATATGGATTAAATATCAGTCAACATGATTGTTTTAATTACCTTTATGATATACTGCATCCTCCAATGAAGATAGAGTCCTAAGTTTATATGTTGTTTAAAATCTACAGTATTGCAGCGTATCAGTGCGTGGATAAAGTGTTCAAATTAGTTTTCTTTTTCATTTTTTTGTTAATATTTCCTGAGAATAACATACTTCCTGTTCTTGGGTGGCTAGGCTCACTCACTTCACTATATTTTTGCAGGGAGCCATGGTTGTCACCCAGACTGGACTATAAATATGTCTTCCCCTCTTCATCTTCATTACAAATGGTGGTGGATTTGTAGTTTACAGAAGAAAGATAACATTGCTTAAGTTTTTTAGTTCAATTCAGCTCAACAGATATTTTCTGTACTTGCTGAAAATGTTCTTAACCTGAAAAGTGAAAACTAGTGTAGCCACATCTTAGTTCTGATAATCTGTAATATATTACATTTTTGTGCTTGGGTTTGGTGATCTTTTAAAGAGACACTGGGGCAGATTTACTAAAACTGGAGCATGCAAAATCCGGTGCAGCTTTGCACAGAGACCAATCAGTTTCCAGGTTTTATTGTCAAAGCTTAAAGTGTTTGTAAACCCATGACCCTGCATTCACTATATCTTGTCTCCCCGAACCCTGCATTCACTATATCTGGTCTCCCCGGACCCTGCATTCACTATATCTAGTCTCCCCGGACCCTGCATTCACTATATCTGGTCTCCCCCGGACCCTGCATTCACTATATCTAGTCTCCCCGGACCCTGCATACACTATATCTAGTCTCCCCGGACCCTGCATACACTATATCTGGTCTCCCCGGACCCTGCATTCACTAAATCTTGTCTCCCCGGACCCTGCATTCACTATATTTGCTCTCCCCGGACCCTGCATTCACTATATTCTGGTCTCCCCGGACCCTGCATTCACTATAATCTGGTCTCCCCGGACCCTGCATTCACTATATCTGGTCATCCCTGGACCCTGCATTCACTATATTCTGGTCTCCCCGGACCCTGCATTCACTATATTGGTCTCCCCGGACCTTGCATTCACTTATATATCTGGTCTCCCCGGACCCTGCATTCACTATATCAAACTGGTCTCCCCGGACCCTGCATTCACTATATCTGCTCTCCCCGGACCCTGCATTCACTATATCTTGTCTCCCATGACCCTGCATTCACTATATCTGCTCTCCCCGGACCCTGCATTCACTATATCGGTCTCCCCGGACCCCTGCATTCACTATATCTGGTCTCCCCGGACCCTGCATTCACTATATCCGGTCTCCCCGGACCCTGCATTCACTAATATCTGGTCTCCCCGGACCCTGCATCCACTATATCCGGTCTCCCGGGGCTACCCTGCATTCACTATATCTGGTCTCCCCGGACCCTGCATTCACTATATCCGTTCTCCCCTGGACCCTGCAATCACTATATCTGCTCTTCCCGGACCCTGCATTCACTATATCTGGTCTCCCCGGACCCTGCATTCTATCTATATCTGTCTCCCGGGACCCTGCATTCACTATATCTGGTCTCCCTGGACACTGCATTTACTACATCTGGTCTCCCCGGACCCTGCATTCACTATATCTGGTCTCCCCGGACCCTGCATTCCCTATATCCGGTTCGTCCCCGGAGACCTGCATTCACTATATCTGCTCTCCCGGACCCTGCATTCACTATATCTGGTCTCCCACAGTACACAGAACATAGAAATGCAATTATTTTTGCAGTGAGAATAACAAGCATGCTTTACTGCATATACAGACTGATTTTACTTCTGTGGGTTTTAGTAACACTTTCATAGCCCATCCAGCAGGTTATACTCACCATGCTTCTCTACCACAGATTGGGGCTTTGAGGTATGGAAAAGGCATGTGACCATGATTGGGGTAACTGCAAAGCCAAACCTTTGTCACATATGAAATACTGGAGCAGGAAAATGGTGAGAGAGCATGGATCTGTTGTCTGAATAGGTATATGGACAGTGCAGTGTTTTTCAGTCACTGATCACATTTAGGCCTGATTTGGCAGTGTGAACGTGACTGGCACTAAGCAAAGAAATGGCATATTAATACGTACTGACCAGGGGCGGACTGACAACTCATGGGGCCCCCGGAAAAAAAAAGGGGATCATGGGGCCCCTGTGTCCTTGCCCAAACTCAAAAAAGCCTATGAAAAAAGTACCAGGGGCATCTAATGGGGCCCCCTACTGACCCCAGGCCCTCGGGCAGTGCCCGAGTTTCCAAATGGTCAGTCCACCCCTGTGGTACTGACTTCAAGAAGAACCATCCACCTCCATGTGAGGTCGTCTGTGATATATGGGTACAGTGGATTATTTAAGATTTAGATTATGGTAACGTGAGTCGACTGCTAGATATTGGCACAGCTGCCATATAACTTTGCATGCATTCACAGGTACAGATGAGTTTATTTGCAGACATGCATTGTGCATCAATACAATCCAAATTGTGTTGGGTTTGTATGGTGATCCCTACCAGATGTGCAAGGAGGTGCAGCTACACTAACGGCCAAAGGTTTGTGAAACATCTAACCATTACATCTATATGAACTTGTTGGACATCCCATTCTAAAACCATGGAAATAACTTGGATAAAGTATCCCCTCCTTCCTCCCAAATCAGCCGAAAGAGCATTTGTGAGCTCAGGTACCTCAGGTGATGACCTGATAGCTAGAAGACCTAGCTTGCAATTGCCATTCCAGCTCATCCCAAAGGTGTTCAGTAAAGTTAAGGTCAGGGCTCTGTGCAGGCCAACTGAATTTTTTTTTTCACCAAATTCCTCAAACCATGTCTAGCTTCAAGCATGGGGGCACAGTCACACTGGAACAGAAAATGGCTTTCCCCAAACTGTTTTTCACAAGGTTGGAAAAGCAGAATTCTGAAAAATCTTTGTATGCTGAAGCACTAACAGTACCCTTACCTAGAAACACCTGAAATCACTCATTTAAAGGGGTACCACATACTTTTTTTGCAATTTAGTGTGAGCTAATTGTCTCAACTGGCCCTGGTGGCTATGTATCTTTTATTAGCAAAGACCAGTGATTTGGTCTTTGTATGAAAGTGTCAGAATCTGAAAATGAAACTAGAAAGATGGAGCTGGAGGTCTAATGTGCATTCTGGGTACTTAAAAAAAAACTAAGGTACCATGTTTTTGGTGGGAAGCTTTTCCTTGTGTATATCAGAACAAAATGCAGCACATACCAATTCTTGGGAACTGTTAGTTAGAATTGGGTACCATGTTGTGGGCTGACACCTGGAGGGCTACCCAATGGCATTCTGCTAGGCACAGAGTCTGGGGTCACTCTCCTGCAGTGTTGGGGTTCCTTTGCTTGTGCACCATCAATGCACCAGGACCAGATGGAGGCCACTTTAGGGAAAACCTCACCTTAAGGTGGACCTCCAACTTAGAGATATGGGTTGTGGACCCATGTCCCTTTTAAAAAGGCTACAGGACCAGTTGGTTGGACCCAAAGAGCCTGCCAAGAAAAACCTGAGAAGTGGTAACACATTTAACTCTTTCCAGACCAGGTTGCACTCTAGCTAAGCTAACAGTAGGTAACCTGCCTACACATGCAGTAATGTGAGCAGGGCCTTAATGATGTATGAGCACTATTCTGTGAAAGTGCACTTTGAACCCAGGCCAGTGTGCTGTCCCCACACAGAGTGTCCATGATGGCCTAGGCTCACAGGAAGTGAGTAAATGTTGCTTGCTGTTATTAAACTTGGAAGGGGTGCAGCATCTAGTTGAGGAACAGAGAATGTCTGCAGAGGACAGCACTGGATTGAAAGTGAGTACTGCACTTCTCAAAACACCGTTTCAAGTTGGCTACATACAGTTGCAAAAAAAGTAGTACGTGAACCCCTTGGGATTAAGTGGAGTTTTGCATGAATTAGGCATAAAATGTGCTCTGAATGTCATCTAAGTCACAACAATAGAAGAACACAGTCTGCTGAACATAATACTACACAAACATTAGATGTTGCCATGGTTTTTAATTGCACATAACATGTTAACATTCACAGTGCAGGGAGGAAAAGTATGTGAACCTTTGGACTTAATAACTGGTTGACCCTCCTTTGGCAGCAATAACCTCAACCAAACGTTTCCTGTAGTTGCAGATCAGACCTGCACAACGATCTGGAGTCATTTTGGACCACTCCTCTTCACAAAACTGTTTCAGTGTAGCAATATTCTTGGGATGTCTGGTGTGAATCGCTCTCTTAAGGTCATGCCACAGCATTTCAATCGGGTTGAGGTCAGGACTCTAACTGGGCCACTCCAGAAGGCGTATTCTGTAGGGCCTCACATACTTTTTCCTCCCTGCACTGTGAATGTTTACATGTTATGTGCAATTAAACCATGGCAACATCTAATGTTTGTGTAGTATTATGTTCAGCAGACTGTGTTCTTCTATTGTTGTGACTTAGATGATGTTCAGAGCACATTTTATGCCCAATTAATGCAAAACTCCATGTAATCCCAAGGGTTCACATACTTTTTCTTGCAACTGTACGTATTATTGGTGGCTAAACAAACCATAGCAAAAGCCTGGAATCAACAGTTCATATACTTTATGGAAGTTTATCGCTGCATAGATTTCTTCCTGGTAAATGAAAAAGTCTATAGCATTCTTTCAGATACCCATGAGAGATTCATTAAAACATGGACTCCATGGATCCAACATGCCCATCCTGCTATACCAATAGGTAGTTTCACTTCGCTATAATTTTGGAGGTCCTATAACCCAAGTTTCTGGCTCCATTGACTTTCTCCTTTCATTCCTTTCTTGTCTTCCCCCCCTTCTTCTCTTTTTTTTCTTTTATTCCAGTGGCTCTTCCACAGGGATGTTTTTTTATATGTTCCATATATTTCTCTTGGTTGACTATATATTTTATGCATTTCAAATGGTATTGTCTTTTTCGATGCTATCAGATGTTGGGCAATGGGTGTATAGTCCTTCATCCAATTCCTACACTGATTCATTGACATGATACGGTTGATATGTCTGTTCTCTTCTTTTTGACATGTCATTTACAGTGTCATCATTTACAGGTATGTTTTTATTTGTGTATGACTGCTTTTGAATGTTATTCTCAATTGTTAAACCTTTGCTTGTACACAAAATAGTGGTTGCATTTGCATTCTCTAAAATTCTAAACTATTCAATAAAAATGTATTGAAAGGAAAGTGAGTACTGCAGTGACAACTGTCTTTTTTATTTTGAATAGGTCTGGATATTGTTTTTTATTAGAGTTGAGCTTTAACAAGCAAAAGAAAATGAGTTTCAGGTATTTTCAGCCTTCCTATGTAGTTCTATCACATGTAATTGAAATTAGAGAGCACAGTTTGGTTCCCAGCAATGTAATTTTCCACAATGCATTTGTCAATCATATCATGGGGGGCAATCTTGTGCTGTTTAGATTTGGTTATATATCCATTGCATTATATGTCCTGACGGCACAAAAATAGGTTCACGTTGGTCTCAAAGTGAAACTTTAGTCAGAAAATTAGGTCCTGCTAAATCACTTCAGGCTGGCCCCTTATGCAGGTATACTTATGTACTCCTGATGAAGTCACATGTTGTGACGTAACGCGTAGGGTACGTCGATGACGTCAAGCTGTAGACAGAAAGTGTACGTACCGCCATTTTGAATAAGGGATCCCCAAGTCAGGGCATTCATGAAATACACTGTATAAAGAGTATTTAATCCTGTAGTGTCCCAGGTGGACACTTACAAATGTGAGTGCATTTTTAACATTATTTTAATAAAAGTTTATTATATTTTGGATATACTTCACTATATGGAGCCTTTTTTTCATT